CAATCTTGTCTTCATTACATTGGCTCCCTGTCAAGTACAAGATTCAGGGTGAGAAAAAAAGTGCTCCTTTCGACATACAGATCTCTTATGGTCAGGCTCCCAGGTATATCTCAGCCCTATGGTATACCACCATTAGGCCACTTAGGTCCTTAAATAAAGGCCTACTAGTTGTTCCGCATGCGTGTCTGAAAACTAAAGTTGACTGTGCATTTTAAGTGGAGGCACCGACATTGTGGGATGCTCTTTCCTCAGAACTTAGCTCTGTCTGTTCTATCAATACCAGGTGCAATCTTGTAAAAACATGGAATGACTTCAGTATAATTTGACTTTAAACAGAAGGTGCGCATTGTTTCATCCCTCCCTACTGGGCAGGACAGATGAAACACAAGGGTGGGACGGAAGAACGATATACGTTTATGTTATTTATGTTATTCTTGTTTTTTATTTAAAATGCTTGATGGTGTCCGTCTTAATATGTAATTGCAAACATATCATCTCATGTCATTTTTCTTAATAGAAAATATAATAAATATAACTTTTAGAACATATGACCAAACAATAAATGCGCATTTCGATTTTTTTTCAAACATATGTAGATCAGTTTTAAATGTATATATTTTATTTTATTTATATATACATATGCATGAGTTTGTGAATATTATACATCTTTTGATCTAGGCAATGAATTGTGTGGTGGTGTGTTGTAGCTTACAACATAATCTGTGTTTAATATGTTTGAAAGGAAGGTGCAAACCGCCAAGTGTTGTGGAGAGATGGCAGCTGTTATTGTTGCCAGGAGACACAGCCGTAATGAAAGAAAACGTAGAGAATTTAACAATATTAGATAATATTCTATATCTAAAATACAATTATTTTATTTTATTTATTCGATGAACTGTATGAATAGATTTCTTTTTTTAATTTGTATTTTCCTTTAGCTTTGGCAATACTGTTGTATTAACAATCATGCCAATAAAGCGTTTCGTTTCGACCTGACTTCTTTTCTCCGTGAGATGGAATAATTTAGAAAGTTGCGTGGCGCTGCAGAGAGCCCCCAGCTGCAGTAGTGCACGGATCATGTGTAAAATTCAGCCATCCAGAGGGAACGATCACCAACTGTTCACAGCGCGCCGGTCGTAATAGCGACATAACCCATTGTAGGAGAGGGAATGGGGCGTTGGGGCGTACAGGACCAGGGACAGGAGATCACGGAGCGACTGGGCACGCTGCAGACGGTCGGTGATTGTTCCCTCTGGCTGGATGAAGCACGATCTGCTGGCATTTCGTCACGTCTGGGTCATTGCAGCATATTGTAGCTGTTTCTGCTGGGGTTTCCCAAAGTTTTTCACGTGTGCTGTCCCAAGTACTTGGTGCAAACTCAGGCAGGATGGGCAGGTACATACGATTTCCACATACTAACGCACTGAATGAAACAAACCAAGGTTTTTACGCAGTGGCTGCTTTCCCTCCAGACTCTCCATGGTGGAAACCATTAAAACACGCAAAACCTAATTTAAATACTGCAACCTCCATTGTGTTTGCTACTGTTGTCATCTACGCAATAATTCTTAGTAAATCACACATAACAGGTACTAAAATTGCACGTGCAATATTTTAGAATGCACACACAATTTAGTACCCTTTATTCAGGATGTTAGTAAATTGGGTCCATAGAAATAACAGATGCAGACAACCATTTGCATTGGATGATCAGTTTAAGTTACACAGGTTTTTAAAGGGTATTTCCATAAATAGTTCTCTAGGTTACTGTAACATGCTGTAATGATGTGAGTGGGCATCATTCTCTGTATGGGTTCAAGCATAAAGTGCTGGGAAAGATGAACAGAATTTCTAATACATGTAATTGAAATATTAAAAATACAAAATAGCACCTTGTAATTTGTATTTGAATGAGGAAGCAGGGGAATATCTAAATTTGCTTTGTATTGAAATAATTCAGAGCTCTATATTTGTACTCTTGCTGAAACATGCTGAAAATACATTCCCACTAATTCCCCTAACTCTGTTGCTCACTGAGTGCATTTGATTTGCAGCCCAACTTACACCGTCTCTAGTGCATCAGTCCAAAAGTAACACTTTTAACATTCTTCATTTTGCTCTCTTGATCACTCTCAAGTGCTACAATCTGGGTTGCAAATGGTAAACACACTTTAGCTCAGTCTTCTGTGACTGACAGGTTGGTGAGGAGTGGAAATATGATGATTGGCCTTTTGTTCTTGATAATGTACAGTACTCTAAAAATATTTCATTAGCAGCAACTGTAAATTTAAAATGAGTTCAAATGACTTACATGATGGTTATGGCCGTTATTACTCACTTAGCTCACTTTACTGGACTGTCACATACAGCACGTTCTGTTGCACTTCTCCCTCCCATAAGCAATACATGGATTTGTTTATGTTAAGCTCTCACAAGGGAAAAATAAAGTCAAGCTAAATTCATTGTGCAATTAATGCTAAAGAAAGTCAAAGGTCCAGTGTGTAATATTTTTGAGGATCTATTGACAGAAATGCAATACAAGATCCATAACTATGTTTTCAGGGGTGTGTAAATACCTTACATAATGAACTGTAAGGTTTTTATTACGTTAAAATGAGGCATTTCTATCTACATACACCGCAGGTCCTCTTCTATGGATGTCGCCGGTTTCTACAGCCCAAAATGGACAAACAGCACTACATTTTTCTTCTGCTTCTTCTTGTAGAGTTCTGGCAGTGTGGACACTCATCACTATGTTGAATACGTATGTTCTAAGAAGAAGAAGAAGTAATAATATACAGCAGGGTTCGGAGCAATTTTTTTCATCCATTAGATGATGGGACTAAACAGTTGGTAGCAGTTCGCAACCTCAACACTAGATGCCACTAAATCTTACTCAACTAACCTTTAAGGTACTGCTTAACTTACTATTAGCTGAAGACATATGACCAAAGAAACACAAGTGAAGGGACAATAGGTGCCTGACTGCCACTTCATAGCATATTTGTAGCTGTTCATTGACTACTGCTTTTTAGGGGTGGGAAAAAATTGATTCACTTAAATATTGTGATTCTTTAAAACAAAAGATGATTAAATCGATCTTTTGATTCCTGAATCTTTTTAATTTTGTGTATGAATTATTATTATAAATGCATTATCACATTATAAGTGAATTCTTGTTTATTAATTGATTATACTTAATTTAATTAATTACATTTTTATTTTTATTATAATTCTTATGGCACTAGCTTGATGTAGCAGTTTACTGACCACGTTTTTAAGCAGTATAGCAAAACAATGATGCTGCTGAAATAAAACTCAGAGACTGACAGAAACATGTAATGTGCATTGTTTTTGTAAATATGACTAATGATATACAGTCTCTAGAAGTGTATGATTAAACTCTTTCCCAGAGTCTAGTATTAAAAAAACAAACAAAAATCACAATCAATCGTAGTATCCAATCACAATATTATATATATACACATAGCAATATACAATATTTAAGAATTGCAATATGAATCAACTTTGTATACTGACTACACCCAAGTATCGTGATATTATCAAATCGGGAAATAAGCCAGTCCTACTGCTTTTCTGGTTTTAGTATTTTGTGCTTTATTTTGAAACACCAACATTTGGTCTAATTTGTATTTTGAATCACAATATTTTTTTCTTAGGTGGTAGTCCATCAAAGTACTCGCTCAGTTAAAAAAAATAAATAAAAAGTACCAATGATAAGACGTACACTGAATTTAGAATGCGTGCATTATTTACATTACCTGATATGGTCATGGGTCATGATGCGTGGCAGCTGAATGATGAGTGAAACATTCCTGCACTTCTGTCAGGAACACTCATGCCATTTAATGCAGTCTGTTTGACTGTGACAAAGTTGGAAAAGTGGACCATACTTCATCTTTGCCATGCTTTCTCCAGTTAAGATTAAAATTGCTCAGGATGTACGTCCTAATTGTAGCTGTGTCCTATGTGTTATGGTTGATGTGTGCTTGCATGGCTACCGCAATTGTAGCTTGTGTAGAATTGTAGCACTGAGAATTAATGTCAGGAATGTCAGGATATCTATTCAAAACAGCTAAGACTACCATGAGTACATAAAAGGATCATAGGCATGGCAGTAAATTACAATGACAGTTGTAATGTTAACCCTAGCAGTGATAAAGCCACGTCTTACCTGCTACAGAACCACATCCCGTGTATTATGTAACCAAAGCTGAAGCCAAAGTGAGAACATTACCACCAACAGGTCTGTAATTTGGGCCTACACCACTGTAAAACCAATTTTAACACAACAGCCACAGAAGTTCGCTTTCAACTATACATTAAATATTTCCTTAGCCCAGCTTGCTGTCCACATTAGTGTGGTCTCGGTGGTTAAGTCATTCTGGTCTCTGAAGGTTTTCTTTCTGCTTTCATCTTAAAAGAGTGGGGAGAGAGAGAGAGAGCGCTGGGACATTTAGGACACAAGAGGACTCTCTTTGAAGGAAACTGGAATATGCTTTATTACTTTTCACCCAAGTCTGGAAGTCTAGGCTCCAGACTTGGAGTTGGGGTGATATCAGTAACGAGGTCGTTGTGCTGTGCGAGCGAATGTCCCTCAGGCATGTCAGTAGCTTGCTGTTGTGTGATATAGAAACCCACATAGAAATCAAGGTAACCAAGTGGCACAGAGAAACCTACGTTACCTGGGTGATAGATATTATCTCAGTAAAAAACATGTTTGTGAAACTTTAGCCTGTAAAGACTGAAAATAGGAAAGGGGGCACACCAGACCATCTGTGATGTGTGTCAGCTGATTATGTTTTCGAAAACCGCTCTGAAAAAGGAAGATGTAGGAGTCACTGGATCAGTGCAAGTGCTACCTTGCATCAAACAATCTTATTTTCAAAGGGAACACAATCCATATTTTCTTAATCTACTATCCTCTCTTGCATCCCTCTAAATTGTATGTTATTGTCCTTTGTGTGCTTTTATTCCAGATAAACTCCATCTGGCGTCTCCACTACTTTGGCAGCTATGGCTTTCTCTTTTTCTGGAGGGACCGTGTTCACCATCCTCCTCGTTAGCAGGTAAGACTGCTTACAGAAAGAGAAATATACCCGCTGGGATCTGCAGCCACAAAGCTATCTTAACAGGCAGGAAGCACAATGAAGTCATATCAGATTCAAATTTGTAACAGCACCAAGATAGAGAGGTACTCAGTTGTATCATTTTCACATGAACAATCAATACTCAACAACACATCCCCATGCATCAGACAAAAAGTATAGAAATTCCATTGCCACGTTCATGATGCTGCTGAGCAGAACCGATGAGGCCGTATCCAGCATCACATGTATCAGTCATTGCATACAATTGGTGTGATAATCCCTGCAGAGGTCATACAGAGAGAATGATGAGATGTTTTGGTGCACATTTGTCTGTTACCGTGAAGAGAAGCCTCTCCTCTTCTTGCAGTTTATTTTCAAAGCACAGAATGCACTTTGCACATTTTAGATAAGGCAAACCCTCTGGGTCACACTGAATTAAGATATTCTCTGTATAGTGCAGCGCTTCTTTGCACAGCTCACATCCACTCTGGGATTAATGTGCTATAGCATGTTGCCTCCATCAGTAGTATGTTGCCAAATGCATCTGCTTTTAGTGTAAATGCCAAATGCCAGCCTTTGACTGATCAAACATGAAATGAATAAATTTCATGAATCTTTTTATGAGAAAGCCTTAAGAATATGCATTTGTGCAAGTGATATTTCTTTTTTATTAATTAGTGAAAAAGTCTGTTATTTTAATAGTTAAATTACAGCTTTATAGCTGCCAGTGTTTGCATGTTTTATAAAAGGTATACTGATACTATATATTTTGCTCACATCCTCAACAAGCTTACCATAACACCTTATTTTTAGAATTGCTTTGTTTTTTCAGCTATGCTAATGCAGTAGCTTACTGCCTTTTAAAAATCATGCCCTCACAATGTCACAAATTGGTGTGTGGTTGAGCAGGTTGGAGGACCCAAATGCAGGACACAGAAACTGGCAGGTTCAGTTCAATGTTTGATTAAGGCAAACAAAAGCGAGCACACTTACAAGTTGAGTGGTTGAGTCCAAAGAAACCAAGGTAAAAAATCCAATACAAACACAGTAATCCAACAGAATAATCTAACAGGGTACAGATCCAGAACAGGCAGGGCAGGACACAGAGCATAACACAACTACACACGGCAATGACTGAGAGAGCAACAGCAAGCTACAATGACCGGACACAGACTAAAGACACAAGCAAACATATATACAGGGACAGGAACGAGCAGGGCGGGAGCAACACAGGTGACAGAGATCAGACTAATGATACACACGCAGGCAGAGAGACCGCAGGGGGAAACAGACCGAACACAGGTTACCAAACACAAGGCAAGAATCTAACTGGAACTCAGACATAGAACAGACAAGACAGAACAAGTAACTGAGAAACGCAGGCAGCTCCACAAGACAGAACAGACTAAGATAACTGAACAGAACAAAGCAAGTTAACACAAAATGATCGTAACCAAATGGACAACAAATCAGGCAGAGATCACAATTAACACATAGCAGACAGGCAGACAGAAACCAAGCATGAAACAAAGCAGATAGTAACAGAATGAGACAGGAACTAAAGGCACAGAGTAGGCTACAAAACTAATAATACAAATAGACTACAACATAACAGGGAAAACAGACTAAAACAAGAAACACAGAACAGACTTACATCAAACAGGCAGAGGTAAACAACTAAATAACTAACACTGGGCATACTGAATACTGATACACTAAACAGAGTAGACCAGAACAACTACACAGAACGAGCAGAAAACAGAACAATCATGCACAAATAACGAACTAGACAGGCAGTGTGCGACACAAGTCTATTCATGCAGATTCAATACCCACTTCCAAAAAGGTCTTAAACTTCACAAAGGTCTTCATGGGACCCCAAACATGAGACTTACCAGGTTCAAAATATATTCAGTCTAATAATTCAGGCAGACTTGCTAACAGCACTGATGGCATTGTATATCATAGTCTGAGTCTGAGTGTTCTCAGTCCCCTTTTGGATTAGTTCTTTTTCATGCTAGTAGCATGGCTCTAGGGTGGGCAATGTCAATTAGTCCATCCACCACTATGGTCTAGACTGAAATAACACAAAAACTATTTTTGCCCCCGGCGCAAAGCACCGCACAAAGCGCACCTCAAGTGTTATTGCTAGTTTCCAATCGACACAGTTGTAATTTTCACACCAAGCGCCCACGTTTTTTAAATAGCAATGCACTTGCTCCTATGGGAGTGTTGGTCTTAAAATGAGGCATCAGGCAAATTACGCATTGCACAGCAGCGTAACTTCATTGATTATTAAATCAACAGGATTGGCCAGGGTCTAATTTTAAATCATGCTGTGTTCTACACATCCAAAATGTCCCACACACAGTCTAGGTTCATACATTGACACTGTTTGGATTAAAGCAGATGTCCTCCTGATTAATCCTGAGCTCCATTAGAGCGTCTAAATTATTTCAGAAGCTAAAAGTTGAATTATCAGGTCACTTTTTGTCTAGCACTTGGTTTATGACTAAATACTGTACTTACAAAACATGACATCAGCCTTAGCTGTACTTTGTATTTAGTTCTAATAAGCAAATGTTAACATGCTAACTAATGCTAATTAATAAACTAAGCTAAAACATTGTTCTTACTTGGTAAGGTAGGATAACCATACGTCCTCTTTTTCCCGGACATGTCCTCTTTTTGGGACCTAAAAAATGTGTCTAAATCGCTCAAAATGTCCGGGACTTGGTTTTTACTTTTTCTGTGTGTTTTGCATTGCTTTGACCTTTCACTTTAGCTCTTGCCTTCTCACACACCGTTATGCCCTGTCCACCGGCAGAGACGGAGTAGGGAGCAAATTGGGTACTTTTTTCATCCAAGCATGTGCATAAAGTTGGTCATCAATGTAATTTTTTGTGAACTGACCAATTACAGCCTGGATGGGGCGGGACATTAGTAAAAGGCGATGCGGTGCTACAGAAAAGTTGAACTCATGAATGGTTATGATTACTGACAACTTAGCACTTAGCATTCAAAAATAAATAATAAGCTGTTGAAATATTAAAAATATGCCTACTATAAACAATATGTGGACAGGCATTAGCCAAATAAAGTGCAACCTATAAATATACACTCACCTAAAGGATTATTAGGAACACCTGTTCAATTTCTCATTAATGCAATTATCTAATCAACCAACCACATGGCAGTTGCTTCAATGCATTTAGGGGTGTGGTCCTGGTCAAGACAATCTCCTGTACTCCAAACTGAATGTCAGAATGGGAAAGAAAGGTGATTTAAGCAATTTTGAGCGTGGCATGGTTGTTGGTGCCAGACGGGCCGGTCTGAGTATTTCACAATCTGCTCAGTTACTGGGATTTTCACGCACACCCATTTCTAGGGTTTACAAAGAATGGTGTGAAAAGAGAAAAACATCCAGTATGCGGCAGTCCTGTGGGCGAAAATGCCTTGTTGATGCTAGAGGTCAGAGGAGAATGGGCCGACTGATTCAAGCTGATAGAAGAGCAACTTTGACTGAAATAACCACTCGTTACAGCCGAGGTATGCAGCAAAGCATTTGTGAAGCCACAACACGCACAACCTCGAGGCGGATGGGCTACAACAGCAGAAGACCCCACCGGGTACCACTCATCTCCACTACAAATAGGAAAAAGAGGCTACAATTTGAGAGCTCACCAAAATTGGACAGTTGAAGACTGGAAAAATGTTGCCTGGTCTGACGAGTCTCGATTTCTGTTGAGACATTCAGATGGTAGAGTCAGAATTTGGCGTAAACAGAATGAGAACATGGATCCATCATGCCTTGTTACCACTGTGCGGGCTGGTGGTGGTGGTGTAATGGTGTGGGGGATGTTTTCTTGGCACACGTTAGGCCCCTTAGTGCCAATTGGGCATTGTTTAAATGCCACAGCCTACCTGAGCATTGTTTCTGACCATGTCCATCCCTTTATGGCCACCATGTACCCATCCTCTGATGGCTACTTCCAGCAGGATAATGCACCATGTCACAAAGCTCCAATCATTTCAAATTGGTTTCTTGAACATGACAATGAGTTCACTGTACTAAAATGGCCCCCACAGTCACCAGATCTCAACCCAATAGAGCATCTTTGGGATGTGGTGGAACGGGAGCTTCGTGCCCTGGATGTGCATCCCACAAATCTCCATCAACTGCAAGATGCTATCCATCAATATGGGCCAACATTTCTAAAGAATGCTTTCAGCACCTTGTTGAATCAATGCCACGTAGAATTAAGGCAGTTCTGAAGGCGAAAGGGGGTCAAACACAGTATTAGTATGGTGTTCCTAATAATCCTTTAGGTGAGTGTATTAGTATTACACTAACAGTAAACTTTTTATTTATTGTTATAATATTGTACTAATACACACATTTATACTAGTTACTCTTCCAGGTGGAAAGAGCCTCTGCAGTGGACAGATGTAGATTTAGCCAGAGCCAGGATGCCATTGTGCCAATATGTCCTTCTAGTCACTCCACTTTTTCTGTTTTACTAAAATTATTGTTGTTATATCAATTGTGTGTGCGTGTGTGTGTCGGGGTGTTTGGGATCCGTGTGAATGCATGGCCTACAAAGCTGGTACATGTGTGTCAAATAAAGATGCTAGCAATCTAGAAGCCCACATGGAGGCCCTATTAAAGTTCAAGTGTCTGTTTCATAGTGCTTAATAGACATAAAATGATCCTGTTATTTAATGATGGAAATTCAGTGATTGCAAATGATAACAAAAAACCCAATTTATAATTGTTATGACCTCTATGACATTGTATGAAGACCCTGGGGCCCATCAGTAAACCCTGTCAGCATGGGGTGCTCAGCTGAAGAGCCTTAATAGCCTTAGTGATTAGGAAAGGCTGCTTGCCCATGCATTTTAATAAATTTATGAGAATTGATACCCAATTATGAATTTTTAAGATTCATAAAATCAATGTTCCTGGTTAAGGGCACCAC